TAATTCTCCCCCTCACCAACCCTTACCCTTCACTCACTCCCCCCACACTCCACTCACTCTCACTCTCCTCTTGCCCTTATACCATCTCACTATCACTATCCCCCTCTCTCTACCTTTCCCTTCTCTCTCTCTCTCTCTCCTCTCTCTCTCTCTCTCTCTCATCTCTCTCTCTCTCCTCATCTCTCTCTCTCCTCTCTCCGCAACTCTTCATTTTCCCTTCTTCTCATCTCAACCCCTCCCCTTCCTTCCCTCCTCTCTCCTTTTTCCCCCTCTCACACTCTCTCTCACTCTCTTCCCCTTTCCCTTCTCACTCTTCCCTCTCTCCCCTCCTTCTATCTTTTCCCTTCTCTCTTCTCTGTCAAAAAACAAAAGAAAAAAAAAAAAAAAAAATGGTGGGACTCGCAGAGAACCAAGGATCAGATGAAATGGTTCCTTGTAGGGAGGAGTGGATGGAGAGCAGTGGAAAAGGATGATAACAAGCTTTCTGAAAAATTGGAGAAAGAGCTCTCTGTGAAATTGGAAAAGAAGTTTAGAAAAGAGACAAAAAATTTGGAGCACAAGTCGAAACTGCAATAGCCAAGATAAGGGTCCCTTGAAGTTGAGATAAATAGGCTGAAGCTAGGTTACAGGGGCATGGACCAAAGAAGACACAGCATATGAAGCAGCTGCGAGGCCGAACAGGAATGAATGAATTATGAATTATGCTAATTCAATATCACCTTGCCAAGGAGGACCAAGGTGTGAAAGGGAAGAACAGCTGGTTGCAGATGGAGAGGGCGATAGGTCGAATGCTGAGGTCACAATCCATGCTATCAAGTAGCCACTGAAAAAACAAGGAAAACTGACCACATACAGGCAGGATCCAAGTCAACAGAGGTGAGCAATGGGATGGGAAAGGGGCAAAACCAGTGTTTATCCATGAGCTTCAGGAGAGAGAGGAAAGACACACACTGAAAGGCAGCAGGAAGAAAGAAGGAGATTGAGAAAATCATCACTGAAATAGAGTATGAGATGACGAGATTGTAAATTTTCAGAGAATAGGGGGTACTCGAAGGGGAGAAACGACCATCAAGCTGATTCTCAGGACGGAAACATGCTAAACAGGATCCTCCAAGAGAAACATTGATTGAAATACTCGGAAGAGTACAAGAGGGTGTTCCTAGACAGAGTACAGAAACAAAATCAAACGACAGCAGCTGAGGGAGAGGACAAAAAAGCGAAAGGAGCTAGGAAAAGAGACCGGATGGAACCAGCAGAGAGTCAGTCAGAGCAGAACAGAACAGCAAGGGCAAGCACACACCAACTATTGCTCAGAACCATACAACCTATCTACACAACCCAACACACACTACAATCCAAATCCACAAACCTCCACCCAACACCGGCTATAGAATCCCACAGTATGCACCGGTCACTCCCACCCTCACGGCCCCCCCCAAACCACGTGTTGAAAAGGAAACTGTAGGTAAGGGTAACACAAACGGCTGATGGAATAACAAAAAGAGGGAGAGTGGCATGAAAGAGTCAAAGAAGCATCACCGACATCATAAGCTCTCACAGAAAACAAGCTTACAGGTATGATAACAGATGCCATCTTCCAACGGTGATACCAAAGTCCGAGGAAAACAGAGGAACAGGGGGGTGGAGGAGTGGCATTGCTGATTCAAAAAAATCGCTGGAATTTTGATGAGCTGGAGAGAGGAGACAGCGAGAAAGAAAAGTGGTTTCATACAGAACGCTTCACTCTGGAGGTCCCAATGTGGTAAATATCAGTGGATGTATAACCCACCATCAGAACAGCAGAGCCAAGGCAAGAGTATGACGCGAAGTCATAGAGGCGATGGTGACACACTGGCTAGAGTTGCCAAAGAGCTCATGCATGCAGGGCAAAGCTCCTGATCATGGTGACTTTTAACCAAATAGAGATCGAATGGTAGAAGCATGAACCCACAAGGGGGCCAAGATACATGGATGGCAAAGAACAGGAGGTGAGTACTGGAAAGCATCATGTGCCAACACGTAAGTGACAACTAACAACGAGAGAGAGGAGAGGATTGAACCAGCAAGGCGGACTTAGTATTCCCCTTGAAGTACAGCGCCAGAATATCGAGGACACATCACTATGAAAGACCACTTGGGGCCGGTGACCAAGTGGTTTTACGCTTTACGAATACACAGTAGAGTTACAATGATGGAGGGAGAAGCAGGAAGGCCAGGACGAATGAAGCCAAAACTACAAGAAAGGGGACTACACAGAATGAGGAACTTCTGAACAGGGTTCAGTGGGACAGAAGAACTGAGCAGGAAGCCAGTTAATGAGATGATGGAATATGTACACAAAATTCAAGGAGAACTGAGGAGAGGTTTGTACCCAAGGGTAACAGGAAAATGACAAAGCCAGAATGAGCCCATGGTTTACCAAAGGTCAGGGAGGCAAAAACCAAGTTTGCTAGGGAAAGGAAGAAATATAGAAAGGCAAAGGAACCCAGGAGAATAAGGCGAGCAGGCGTAGAGCCATAAACGAATATGCACAGATAAGAAGGGAGCCAAAGACAATATGAAACGACACAGAGCCTAGCAAAAGCCAAATCTGACGCCGAAGAACTGTTGTACAGCCACATCTGAGGAAAACAAAGTCAAGGACCAGGTAAATCAGGCTAAGGACAGGAAGGAGGAGAGACAACGCAGAAATGACCGTGAAGTATGTGAGGAATCTCAACAAGAAATTCAAAGAAGTGTCACAGAGGAGACATGAAGGGGCTCCAGAAAGACGGAGAGGTGGGGCACACCACCAGTGCAGACCCACTGTGCACACAACCGAGAAGAAGTGAAGAGGCTTCTGAGTGAGCTAGATTACCTCAAAGGCAATGGGGCAAGATAACACCCCCATTGTATTGAGCGAGGGTAGCAGAGGCGGCAATGTGTAACCCTAACAACAATATTCAATACATCTAGGTGGGTCAAAAAAACAGGGAGATTGCCTGAGGCATGGAAGACAGCAAATGTGTCCCCACTCTTTAAAAAAGGAGACAGACAGAAGCATTTTAACTACAGACCATTGTCACTGACATGTATAGTATGCAAAATCATGAAGAAGATTATCAGGAGAAGAGATCTAGGTGGAACACCTAGAAGGAACGATCTCATCAACAGCAGCCAACATGGTTTCAGGGATCGGAAATCCTGTGTCACAACCTACTGAGTCTATGACATGGTTACACCCGCATCATTAAGACAAGAGAGAGAGGGGGTGGGTGATTGCATTTTCTTGACTGCAAGAAGGTCGATATTGACACTAGTTCCACACAGAGATTGGTGCAAAAACTGGAGAACCAAGCAGGGGTAACAGGGCAAGGCACAACAATTGATCAGGGAATGTACTTGTCAGGAATACAGCGTGAGTCATGGACGTGCGAGGAGTCCAAGTGGCACCTGAGACCAGCGGGGTCCCCAAGGGTCAGTCCTAGGACCAGTGCTGTTTCTGGTATTTTGTGAAGGGGACGACATACGTGAAGGAAAATATACTCAGAGGTGTCCCTTTTGAGCAAGATGACTTGAATTTGAAGAGAAGAAATTCACTCATCGAAGACAGCAGAACTACAAAGGGATCAGGACAACAGCAGACCTGGTCCAGTCAATATGCCTCCTGGAGTTCTCAGCCCACCAGAGTGCAAAGTCATGAAGATTGGGGAAGGGGCAAAGAAGACCGCAGACGGAGTACAGTCTAGGGGGCCATGAGACTACAAACCTCACTCAAGGGAAAAAGATCCTGGGGTGATGTAAACACCAGGCACATCTCCTGAAGCACAATCCAACCAAATAATACTGAGCTGTCAGGCATATGGGCGCCTACAAACCTCAGAACAGCATTCCGACATCTTAATAGGAATCATTCAGGACCCTGTACACCGTGTACGTTCGGCCCCAATATAGGAGTTATTGCTGGCACCAGTTTGAACCCACCCCTAGCAACACGTAAAGTAACTAGAGAAATGCTTGCAACAAGAACTAGTCCCAGAGCTAAGAAGGTAGTCCCACGAGGAGAGGTTAAGGGAAAACAACCTGACGACACTGAGGACAGGAGAGATATGGGGGACATGATAGCGACATACAAAATACTGAAGGGAATAGACAAGGTGGACAAAACACAGAATGTTCCAAGATTGGACACAGTAACAAGTGGGACACAGTTTGAAGTTTGGAAGAAACAGATGAATCACAGGGATGTTAGAAGTATTTCTTCAGCCACCGAGTAGTCCAGTAAGTGGAATTAGTTGGTAAGCGAATGTAGTGGAGGCAGGATCCATACATAAGCTTAAGCAGAGGTATGATAAAGCTCCGCTCAGGGAGAGTGACCTATAGCGATCAGTAAGAGGCGGGCCATGAGCATCGGGACATCTATACCCCGCAACCTCAACTAGGTGATTACCACCTAGGTGAAGTACACACACACACACACACACACACAACACACACACACACACACAACCAACAAACACAATCACACAACACAGGCACAACACAACACACACACACAACCACACACACACACACAGACACACACACACACACCACACACACACACACACTACACTACACATACACACACACACACACATACAGACACACACACACACAGACACACGCACACAACACCACACACACACACACACACAACACACACGCACACACACACACACGCACACGCACCGTCACATACGCACACACCCACACACACACACACACCCACACAACAACACACACACACACACACACAACACCACACACACACAGACACACACACAACACCAACACCAGACACACGACACAACACACACAAACACACACACACACACACACACACACACACACACGCACACACACACACAACACACACAACTACACCACCACACCACAACACAACACACACACAACACAAACCTTAACCTCACCGTGAACGATAATCTTTTTTGATATGTTCCTTAACAAGTGAAGTGCACTTACCGCATGGATAGTCAGGGTAACAGCCAGGACGAGGAGTTCATCGTGGCGTGCAAGAGGAGAGTCATCCACTTCGTCCATCGCTGGGTCATGACCATCAAGAACCCTGTTTTCTACAACGATGCTGCCACTCAGTTCCTCCAGGTGAGTAATTCTCTCTCTCCTACTCCCACTCCTCCTGTAGGTGGACAGTCCTGTCTCCTTCCTCTCCTGCTTCTTCTTCAGATGGGTTATGCTGGTCATAGAAACCCGACTAACGAAGACGTTATAACTAAGTGACTTTCACCTCAGACACAGTCCGACTTAGTTGTTCCACTTAAATATTGCCTCCGCTTTCCAATCTTTCCTTCTGACATCCTTGTTGTGCAGTATAATATCATCAATCTAGATACACTTACAGCTAATTAGACTCCAGCTGTTCCTTGATGAGAACCAATTCTTTCTTTGTAGGATCCTCTTCTCTTATACAGTCAGCTCTTCAAGGAACGAAGTTATACCTTGATAATGATGAAGTGAGTTATCATAGGTATGAATCTAAATTTTATCCTACCTCGAGATTCCGAGTACATCTGATTCACGCCAGATTCCTAAATGACTTGTATTTTTAGGGCTTCCTAATGAATATAATTTATTAATAACGTACAATCATAATATCAAATACCAAGAAAGATGTAGAGGGATATTCACTTTAGCTAGTCAGTCTCGACAGATAGCTTCTCGATGAACCCTTGCCTTTCCTTGCGTCTGCTGACCTCTTGTTGTCTCCGTGTTTCTTCACCACTACTACACTCTTCTCACCACCACTGTCACTGTCATTTGGGGGGGGGGGGGGGGGTTAACCATTTCTTTAAAAACACCTACGGGCTGCTTCACTACTCCACCAAAACTATAACCTGACTTTTTTTTCATCGTTAACACCACCGCTTATTCAACTTTCATCATTTGTCCCATACCCAGGATCACTCCATCACCAACCATATATCTTCCAATCATCCACCACATTTCTACCTTCATCATCACCACTATCAAAATATGTAAGCATCACCACATCCTTTGTCAAATCACACTTCTCAACACACTATTACATCGCCTATTAAAATTCACCATTTTCAGCAACCGGCACACTTTTTTTCACCCATTTTTTCACTCCTTTCCCACCCCATGCATTCTATCACTACTGACAAACTAAGCATCGACGAGATTATCATGCTTGGAGAAACTAAATGAAAACAAATCAACTGGACTGGTTGTTATTCATGCCAGAATTATAATGCAGATATCAAATCACTTACCCCCTGACGATATTATTTAAGAAATCATTAGTATTGGTAAAACGCAAAAAGACTGGGGAATTAAGGCAAAATTAACCTTCTTATGTCCCTTCAATTAATTGTCCACACTTACTCATTATTAAGGGAGACAAATAGGAGACTAATATGAAGGACAAGATAGTTAATTTTAAGAAAAATGTCAACCAAGTAATCGAAAACTAGCATGGATTCGGCAACAGATGATCATAATGTGGTTAGAATTACCGACAATATATTATGTGCAAGGACACATTGAGCAACTTAGGAACATTCGTTGGCGGCAAAGGATTCGCTGGTTAGAACTTTGTTGTTTTATGAAGCTCTGAAAAGAAATGTTTTCCGTTGTAAAGATAACTCATTTATTGCATATACCTGGAATCCTTTGTCCTAATAACAAAAAGATCCAGAGATCCAGTTATATATACGAAAACTGGGATGAAAATCTCTCAACAGTTGCAGTACATCGACACTGAAAGTGGTACTCAACGAAGAAGTGTCTGATTAGCCTGCCGTCTAATTGAATCCTCTTCGCAGAGTACATAAATGGTCTCGAGATAGAGATAACATCTAAGATGGAAAATTTGATAATGACACCTAACTGATGATAAGTGCAGCATTCAGAGCAGATTCTTTGAGTATTCGAGGGACCTAGAAAGTTATGCTGCTGTGGTTGGAGACAGTAATAAGGCTTCAACGTTAATTAGTGCAATGTAATGCAATTTAAATATAGCAAACATGAATGCGAAGTGTAGTAACAAACCAACTGAAACAAGAGAAGAACAAAACCGTGGAGCAGTCATAAAGATTAACCTCAAAAGTACTAATCAATGCCTACATGCCTGCAGTAAAGCTAATAGAATGCTAGGGTTCATAACTAGCAGTAAAGCTAATAGAATGCCAGGGTTCATAACTAGCAGTAAAGCTAATAGAATGGTAGGTGTCATAATTAGCAGTAAAGCTAACAGAATGCTAGTGTCGTGGGCTAGAAACTACTTGGGGGGGGGGGGACACAAAAAATGCACCAGACACCATATTGACTCTATAATGGAGTTAGATCGTATTCTATATATGCCACTCAGACCTGGCTCCAAATTTCAAAAATGACTAAGATATGCTGAAAGGGTACAGTGAAAACCTACCAAGCTCATGCAGTTATACAGAAAGAAACTTTTTGAAGAAATACACAAAGTGTATTTACCTGAGGGTCTTTCCCTGACTGGCACTAATTTATTACCTCGTCAAGGCTGTTTAGTTCTTACTAATGCTCGACTGGTCGGAATCTTTGGGTGTGGTCTATAGAAGACTCCAGCCCAACTGCAGACTCATAATATAACCCGACAAAAAATGCCTGTGTATTACAGACTTACGTAAGGTACCTTTAACTGTCTTACGTGGAGAGATTTATGTGCCAGAAGGAGAAATTCCTCGTCTTACAGCCTTCCCAGGAAATTCTAACAACAGCTGATCAGTTGATTACATTGGTCATCACACATTTTTTTTTTTTGGCCAATGATATTACACAGATTTTAGGGTAGGTTCGTGGTGTAAATTCCGAATGTCATCGGTTTTGCTTAATTGGTTGTATTTTTTGAGAAAATTGGTTTCCCATTGAAAAACATAAAAGATGTGAAAAATATATTGATCAGATGGGGTTAGCTTATAAATCGCATTGAAATTATTTTTAGATCATGCAAGCAAGCAAGGTTTACCGTAATAATAATAATTATAATATCATTATTTACTACAAGTACATGTACACAGTATACAGTCCTGGCTGACATCAGTGACTTACTACTATATAGAAAGCCGCTTGTTATGCTGAGCATTTCGTGCAAATTAGGTCAGTATTGTCCGAGGATGCGACCCACATCAGTTGACTAACTCCCAGGTACCCATTTTACTGATGGGTGAACATAGACAACAGGTGTAAAGAAACACACCCAATGTTTCTAGCCTCGCTGGGAATCGAACCCTGACCTCGCCGTGTGAAGCTTTCACTTCACACGGCGGAGCACCAGACCACGGTGCTCCGTGACCAGTACTTATGATAGCAAAGCTTCTCCAAGATCATTTTCATATTTTCGTATTCTTCTTTAAGTTTTGTTGAGTAATTGGAAAAGATGCAAACTGGCTGCCGACAGTTTCCTGGCCGATATTCGAGTCCCATTTGAAGAAGTCCAGGATGTTATCACAGTGTACAAGTTCTTCATCTTGGTTGAAGTAAGGAAGGAGTTCAGCCTCTCTTGTCCGATAAGTTGATATTTTAACTTCTTGTTGTAGACATTTCTTTTATTTTAGTCTGGTTGCTAAAAGTTCAGATGCTTGCTGTGACAGACCGAGGTCATGTATCAGATCATTGAGTTCTTCTTGGGAGAACTGCTGTGGTGTTGAAACGCTCACGTCATTTTCACTTTCGCTGCTAACACCTGTGTTACATCCTAAACCCTGAGTTAATATCAAAAAGGCACAACACCATGAGTGGAACAATACACAAATAACCAGCACATAGGAGAGGGGAGTTACGACGACATTTCGGTCCGACTTGACCATTTACAAAGTGACTTTGTAAATGGTCCAAGTTGGACCGAAACGTCGTCGTAAGCTTCCCTCTCCTATGTGCGGGTTATTTATATACATAACCCAGAGTTTCTTCATCTGACAACGGGAGGTCAGGCAGTGTTGTAAACACTGGTATAGGAACGTCTTCACTGTGTGGCACAAGTCTTCTTGCTAAATCTGGATCAGGATATTTCCACTTGACTTTCTTGTATCGAATGAAACCTTTCACATTCATCGTCGTGTTGTTTTTTCCAGCTTTCTCCACACCATAGACACACAAAAGTTTAAACTTTTCCTTTGTCCATATATCCACTGTCGTAAGCACTCTACACAGGTTTTGCACACCATATAGGGAGGCCAAGACTTGCCTTGTTGTCCAGTCGCTACTCCAAACTAAGCAAGATAGGTTTGTTTTAGAAAATCTGTGAGTTTTTCCCCTTTGTTTTTACAAAGACTATTTGCCATAAATGTAGCAGAATGCATTGTGATTATTTAAGCAGGCTCTTCGTGAAGAGCTCATGTTTCTATGGAAAAAATAACAAAAGGCTTAAAATATTGTCAATGTATATACAAATTGTCACTACATATGCGTATACACGAGTTATGGTTAAGTTCCTTGTTAATCAAGGGGTAGGTATGCAATATCTCACAAACTAGAGCCAATTTGAAAAAACCTACTGCCATTTTCGAATTCAACAACCCCAAAATACCCTAATTACGTTTAGATATCCTTGGCAACGAATTTTTTTTTTTTGACCAGTAAATTATAGAACTAAGGGCCCGTAATTAATGCCAAAATTATCGTGCACCTAGCCTAAGGTAACTCCCTAAACTGCAGTCTTAGTCTAGGTTCTGTCTAACTAGTAAATTACAACTAATTAGTCTTACAATCAAAGTTTTGGCCAATAGGGTGGCAACAGCATGACACCTCAGCAGGCAAAAGTCTAGGGTAACGCCTCCACTTATCTCTCTCCCCCCTCACCCCTCCCACTCCTCACTTGTTGCTCTTACATAGGAAACGAGGGTTTTTCTTCACTGGGAAAGGAGAAGAATGTGGGCCTGTTTCACTTGGCCAAACTTGGTCACTGTCCATGATATCTTTGGTATGTTCTCTAGCTACCATGCTGTCCGCCGCCAAGACCGTGAGGTGGCTGCTGGTTTCTCCTCACTGGACAGTGCAACTCTAGAGGCACTAATCCGTCTGTGGTCCGGATGTGAACAGCACCTTTTTAAGACCTCAACTATCCTGACGGTACCATTCCCATTGGGGTGCAT